AAGACCCGAATTTCAATGTTTCGTATTTCTCTAGAACATTGCTTTCTGCCGGTGGGCATCCCTTGACTACACGCCACAGCACATATGTACAGACCAACAACATTTATTTTTGACATAAATTGTTTTCATTTTTGTTGATACGACTTTTGCTGTTGATTTGGTTTTGCCTTTGTCCTGGCATGGTAATAGAGGCCTCGGCTGTTTACACCAACATTCCCTTGCGATATACTGGTTTTGGGCCATACATGGATTACAAGTATATGTAGTTTACCATTGCTCTCCCATTTTCTCATGTATTTGGGAATCTTTGATTTATCTATCTCGTAGCAGTCTTTTTTGTTACTGCCTCAATTAGTTTGTCTTGGGAAATTTTCAACGAGATTGAAATAAACGTGGATATTAACAACGAAGAAGTTGAGAAATCGGGTGTAGCGATTAGTTTGTTTTCTGTAGTTCTGGTTTGAAATTCTTATTAAAAAACTACATGAAGCCTAGATCTGGGGACAAAAAAGCTTGTAAAACCACAAACGTGACATGACAGTCTCTGCGTCCTTCGTGTTGGGAAATCACATCGACATTGTAATTAATGAAATAATTACAGTGATAAAATAATAATAAAATTACTTCACATTAAAACGTTTATACGGCTCAGTTTAGTCCTCCAAATTCTCTAATAAGAATTTTAAAAAGCTCACAATAAACATTACATGTTGATTCTTCACATAAAATCGAAATAATGTGAGAAAGCATGACGTTTGCTGTATTTCTGAGTACACAAAATGCATGAGTCGATCCAGTTTTTTTTTGCGGGGAGGCAATCCACCATATGATTTCATATTTATCAATTATCTCACTAGCATAATCTTTCACCCTTAATATTTTACAAATGACGTTAAGGTTGGGATGAGGGATTTTTTTTTAACTTCAATGACAGTTCTACACTTCAATAATAAACTGTAAGGAACTCGTTTATAAATGTGGCCAGTCATGAATAATTTATTAGCGCGCTACTTTATCGCAAGCTGATAGGCTCGCAGTGGATGTCGTGCGCTGGCAGTGGAAAGTTGTGGGAAGTTCAGACTTGCCCAACTAATGCTCCGAGCATTCCACCCAAAATCTCAACATTCCAACGTGACCACCCATCAAGGGGTAAGATATATAACTCTACGACGATTGTGGATATGTTTGGCTATATCTTTTTTTTCTCAGAAACTTGCCTCACAATCCCATGCAAACCGTTGTATAAGAGGGTAGGGTGCACCCCCATAAATGCACCCTGCCACCAATACGCCCGTAGTTAGTTTGCTTTTAAGCATTTTATTCTTCACATTTTGTATAAATTAGCTGTAATTTGACGACTGTTACTTGAAGTTATTAATTATCAAGTATTCTGCAGTCTTAACCTTCGTGGTTGATTTTAATAATTTCACATATTAAATCTTATCATCTAATTTGATAATAATAATATAAATAAAACACGGCCCCTTGCAATATAATTACAGCTGAATGGGTTACTGTGTATGAATGAATGAATGGATGGATGGATGGATGGATGGATGGATTTGACTGGTGTCTATATCACTGGTGTCTATGGAATTTACCTGTAGGGGTCCACCCTCAGTCGTCTCTCTGAGCAAACACGTACATACCCTGTGCATACAGTAAAGTACAAGTATTCATTGGTTTGTTTTGTTATGGCTAACCTTTGACACCTAATCTATGCACATTGACGCATTATGAATGAATTTGATAATACATGTAAAGTTAACGGCAATACTGGTCGTTGCTGTATTTTGAAGCTCCAGTGGCCTTTTTCCGTAGAATTGTTGGTTTTAGTATTCTGTAAATATGCTCGCATTACACAGATTCAAATGAGTTCAATGAGACTCTGACGTATCTAGGGTGTACATGAGGCTAAACTTAGTTTACAACCTAAAGACCGAAGTCAACTTTTGATGATGGGTGAGTTTCGCTGCAGTATCTCTAGACTGACTGTCATTACCGGTTTTCTGAATTTCACAATTGGAGTATTTGTGCTACCATTTAAGGAGCTGTTCTGCAGAGGTAACTCGCCTCACCCCCTCCTTGAATCCACCCATCAGGAACAATGGTTCTGACGACACCCCGTCAATCAACCCCCATCATTCAATGATCAAAACCATTTCTGACTTTTTCGTTTGGCAATTTGCTATAATAATTACATGCTATACAACTACCTTAAACTAGTCACAAACAGCCACAGTCTACAGGCAGGCAAATAGCTTGACAATTCAAAAGTGTACCAGAAGAAATAGTTCTGAACGATAATGTGAGAATAGAGTCTGCGATTAGCACACAAAAATCAATAACTTCGGCTCCAGCGTTGACCATGTTCTTCTAGGAACACGCTGTTCAAATAGCTATGAATATATTGTGTTACGGAAACAAGATGCGGAGTCTGTTGGAATGAGAAACAGAAACAAGAATATCAAAAACATAAAAATGACTTGTCTGAATAAGTAACCTAATCTGCAAATACACCAGTTTCTTTTCCTCCAAAGTGCCTTGCTCTTATGAGCAATTTGATATGCACAGTATTTCCGTCGACCGGTGCTTTCTGTCAGTGCGAATATCAGTAAGAGCGATGTCGATTTAAAAGTACTGTGAGATTATTTCAGTAGTAAGTTGATTTTCAAAACCTTGTCTGCCGGAGGAATATGGTCATGAACAAAGATTTTAGCAGGATCCAGTTTCATAACTATTGGGATTGGGTCAGTGGCGAGAATTCGTGCTGGAAAGGGGGGGGGGGCGGATGGGGAAAAATGGATGTGTAGCCTGCACGGCCATGAAATTTGAAAAGTGGGGGTGTTATCTCGTACACACGACTTTTGTATCGTATGTACGAATTATATCGCGTACGTACGACTTATATCTCGTACGTTCGACTTTTTTGTCCAACCTACGAGATACAAGTTTTACATACGACATTTTTGTTTTCACCATGTCCGTAATATAGCTTCGTACTGAATGTATCAGCCCAATAAAAAACCGCATACAGCAGTCCTATCACATCGAACTACTTAAAGGGCCGAATTCAATTTCCAGACCAGACCCAACCAGACCAATGGTGATTCAGTAGGAATATTCAGAATCTGATTAAAAATCCGAGCACTATGGCTTTGATACAAAAAGAGCTATAAACACGTTGTTTGATGAAAGGTGTAAGTATTGTAAAAAATAAAGTGGCTAAGCCGTCGCCCGCAAATTCAACTAGGCTAAACAGTATTTTGGCCGGCTAGATGTAAATCGTGTCCTCTTTGATATGTAAACACGTGAGTAAAACTTGGGAAGTTATTAAATTCCCACTACTTTCCAAGTACGTTTGGTGGTCCATTGGATAGTGCGCACGACAATAAAATCAAAAGTCACGATACGCTCCAAGTTGGGTTCAGTCCCTAACTTTCAGCCCCCAAAATAAGTTTTATTATTTTTTAATTTACCCCAGCATTTAGTTACAAAGTGCTACGTTTTCTTTTTATGATTCGCGGCTCTTGGATATGAAGTCACAACGACTATGACCAGTATAAGATTTGCCAAGTCCCCCAAAACAGTTACTACGCATGTACCCGGCAAAGTATCGTTTATAGCTGGAGTTGCCGTGGCGCCAGCGACAGCTAAATATCCATTGCCCGATAAAAACGTTCATTTGTATCATGAACAGCACTCCTTAGTAAGGTGTCAGCCCCCCCCCCCAAATTTCTATTGCCGATGTTTTCTGCGATTTACGTCAACGCCCGCAATCCCCAGAGTCCATAGCACAAAATAACGCAATTGACAGTATTTAGTCATGGGCTTTTAGTTGATTATCTTAAATCGACATTCCCTTCTATCAGTCTCTCAGGGAAGCTGTAATCCATTCGTTTTAAATCACACCTTAAAAAAGCACCTTTGTGTCTCATTTAACCTGATTTTAAATTTTGTTTCGCAATTTCCAAAGGTAGTTTTATGTCTTTTTTTGTTTTTACGCTAAAGATATTTCCATATGAGCAAACTGTGATGTCATCCGAGGAGAAAGCCTCTATGTTACATTGGTTGGTATCCAAAAATTCCAGTGTTTTTTGAACATTTTGCTAAACTCAGTTTTTTCTTCCTGGCCAATTCGTTGCTATTTTGTAAATTCTGGGCACACAATTTTGACAGGAAAGCTTTTGCACCGAACTTTGTCTTCCCTAGATAATTTTTACAGCAACAGCGCCCTCAGTTTTCCAGAAAAGCAGGGATAACTTTGACTGTTAAAAAGTGCACTTTTCAATGAATTTAACCGAATACGAATGTAAAAGAGTTTTATAAAGCGAAGATGAATACAAAATTGAAGAAAATATATGTCTACTGAAAATTCATTGAAGCTACACTGTAACGAATTTGGTTCTTTCGAGCGAGATTTGTCCTAATGGGTGTCCAACAGGTAAACTTGAATAAATACATGTACATCGAAAATTATCATGCAGTCGCCCACTTAATTATCAATGTATGTGCTCTTAACATGCAATAACCAACGGTGCTGTAAATAAGTTGTGTAATAGAAGAACTGATCATACTAACACGTGACAACAGGCCATGACACTCCCAAAGCTATTATCGATAAACTTTGGGTATAGAAGATATTCGGACCTCGGATATTAGTAAAATGGTGTGAAATTCATTTGAAAAACGTTACTGTGCATTACCCCCCCCCCGACATCCAGATCTTACCAGTACTAGCGACACCAGTCTAATAAGTCAAAGAGACATGATTGTAATCATGTGCGTAGGAATGGATGGAACTTCTACATAATGCTATCTTATGGGGGGAGGTAGTTTTCGGCCAAGACGGCAGAACTCGATAGCGGACTCGATCCGAGCACAAGCCGCGCAAGCCGTCGATTGGATGAAGTCAAGTGAGGGCGCAATAGAAATCGGCTCGCGCGGCACATGCTCGATCACGTCCGCTATCGAATTCTCCCTTCTTGGCCGAAGACTGGGGGAAGGCAGCTTTCAATATCAGTATTTTGTGCGCGTGTACTTCATAGGCAGCCCCCAGGGCTTCTCAACAATGAATTTTTTGCTCCGTGTTTTACTTCCTTTCTGGTAAAACTACACTTTTCAATACATTTCAATATCTCCATGTTTTCTATTACGATCGAGAACGCATTTCCTTTTTTTCAGAAAGACACTTCCTTTTTTGGAATTTGAAATTTGCTTATTAAAAGCACTATTTGTGAGAAAACTTTCAGAAAAGTCATGCAGTCATGTACCAGATCCTCAAATCACCTCGAGCACGTTGCATTTTGTGTTACAGTGCACTATTTTTGACTACATGATTGAAAAATTGGTTATTAATAGAACACACAAATGCATATATAGAAACGCTGTATGAAATAATTCAGTGATTTAGCATATTACTTCATACTTCAGTGTTCGAAACTTATGCTAAAAGAATTCAACTGTTCGTTGTGCATAATTGCTGTTTATAATCCCAAGATGCATTGGAAATGTCGACATCATTTGCATATGGCGTTGGTCCGGGGATGCAATATCTCTGTCTCTCTGTATTGCACAATAAATGCCGGGCAGAAATGCTGATAAGGGAACCCTAAGCAGTCCTCTCTATTGCATACAACGAGGCATACAGTTCAGGAAGGGAGAGCTCGACAACTCAATCAATATACACTGACTGCTGGTGATTGAAGCCATGGAGCAGATACTGATTTTACGAATCTACAAGACAATTGTGGGAATCGCAGGAATCTTGGGCAACGGTCTGGTCTGTGTCGTCATCTGTAAAGTCTCGGCGATGCAGACTCGCACCAATGCCTTCATTTTCCACCAAGCTGTGGTAGATTTCCTTGGCTCTACACTAATTCTCCTGCAGAGTGAAGTTCCACTGCCTGACCCCCTGCCCGACAGTCTTCTGGGTTTCTTCATCTGCACGATGTGGAGCAGTAACTACATGCTCTTTCTCTTGTTTACCATATCAACGTTCAACTTGCTGTCGTTGACCATGGAACGGTACTTCGCCATCGTCCACCAGTCTAAGTACCACGCCGCCTTCGCCACGCGTCCCTGGCTGAAAGTCGGTCTGATCTTTGCTGGCTGCTGGCTCCTTGGGATTGCCATCAAGACGTATACTGCTTTGATCTTCGAGTTCCCAGGCGGCAGATGTGTTGTCAGGGATATCCCCAGCTCCCATGTCATAGGGATCCTGACGGCAATCCTGCAGTACTTGGTACCTGCGTTGGTGATGCTCTTTGCGTACATCAGAATCAGCGTGGAGCTGAAGCGTAGAGCTGCAAGGCTGGGCTCGTTATCGGTGGCTGCCAACTCTGCTCCTTCAAGATTGAACGGCTGCGTCGCTTGTCAGTCAGCTTCGGGTATGACGGGGTCGTTACTGCAGGCCAGACACAACATCTTCAAAACGCTTCTGATTGTATTCATCACGTTCATGGTCTGCTGGACCCCAAACCAGTTCATGTTCCTCATGTTCAACGTAGGATGGCTGGTTATACACGACAAGTGGTACTATCTATTGTCTGTGGCTATGGTGGCTACCAATTGCTGCGTCAACCCGGTCATCTATGCTTTCCAGTATCGCCAGTTTCGCAACGCTCTGCGAGACATGTTTGGGATTGGAAGACGCAACCCTGACTCGTCTCATGCCATGTCACTTCGAAGCCAAACTACTGATGTTCAATCCTAAAGGGACATATGGGACAGTGTACAAATCGTAGGGGTGATAATCAGAAAACAGAATAAGATACTCAACTCAAGACAAGTAGCAGATGATCTAATTTCACACTTCCCGGACGTCCTAAACAGGATAAAATGCACAACTCAAGACAAGTAGCAGGTGATCTAAGTTCACACTGCCCGGACGTCTCAAACAGGATAAGATACTCAACTCACGACAAGTAGCAGATGATCTAATTTCACACTGCCCGGACGTCTCAAACAGGATAAGATACTCAACTCAAGACAAGTAGCAGATGATCTAAGTTCACACTGCCCGGACGTCCCAAACAGTTCTATGATTGATTATTTCGGATTGCAGATGGAACTACAGTATACCGAACTCCTTCAATAAATCACACAGTATAAACAATAGCTTGTAAACGTTTCAGTTACTTTCACCTTTGGTCTTCAGTGCGAAGCTTCAAATGGTCCTATTCTACTTTATACATCTGCTATTCCTACTTAACGTTCTTTTAGAGACATTATTTTGGCTGCTAGAGTGTAAAACAAGAACCACAACCTTCACACACGAACGGGAAGACGTTTGCAGGCAAATGTTCTGTGCAAGCTACTCCCAAGTTCAAAGGATTAAAGATCGCTGATCTTTGTTTCAATATCAAGACATTAAACTCTGAATGTAGAGCTGAATGTTTTACATGGAAAGTCTTGATAAGGGATTTTGTTGGAATCTCGACGATCCACAGTGCAGCGCGCCGGTAAGATATTGTCACAGATGAGTAAATTGCAAGTTTATACGAGGTTTACAAAAAACAGGGCCGACTCACAGCAATTTGCATATGAGCAGATGTCAGTAAACAACATGAGGAATTTCTGACTGATCAGGGCATTCCTTGCCTCACAAAAACAACCATCTTGATTGACTGATATTAATACTTAACAAACACTTTCAAATCTTCAAGCCAAACAAGCAAGTTCCACCCGCACGCAGCGCAGTTGGTGAATAGCACTTCCTCCAGTCGCCTGTTTCCCCCAAAAAATACAGCAAAAAGGCCCCCTACACGGTGGATTGCCTACACCCTTATTTGAGAAATTTCTTCAATGATACCGTTTACATTTTGCATGTTCACTTGAGTTAGCCGTTGCTGAAAACATGTATAGAGCTTTATAAACATGATTGTGAGCAAATAAGGAGTTGTTTAATGAATTGGAGCTCATCGCTTTGCCTTGAAGCATTTCTCATTTGAACCTTGTATTACAGGCAAATAAAAATATTTTTATCAAGGAAGTGAATGACCTCGACAGAACAATATTAGTAACAGAGAAATGTTTATTTTGTTGATGAAACATGTCAACTTGGCACTTGGGGGAAATAGGGATATTTATATTTTGGGATTAGTAGAAATTTGCTCACCTTATATTAACTGTATAAGCGTACACTGATGTCAATATACCATATTAGAGTTTTTCGCGAAAACTGCCCTTCAAATCTGTACCCTTGATTAATTAAAAGAGCACTCAGTAAAAAAAAATCTAAAAATGAAGCAGTGTATCTTGCTGTTCAGAACTGTAGGAATGCAATGCACTCCGTGCAGGTGCTAAAGAGGGCGTTTTTTTTTAAATGAAATTCACAGTCCTTTGGTATGCATTAACCGCATAGGCGCGCAGGTTTATGCGCGTTTGACGCGGAGTACGCTGACTTAAGGCCGTGTCTGAAACGGGCTTCCAGAGTTATGTCTAGGTCTATTGTCTACGCGTCTCCACGCATTTCCGATGGAGGGAAGACCTAGATCTAGCTCTAGAGAAGAGATTCAGATGCAGCCTAGAAAGTGTGGTCTTCGCTTACTCGCCGAAGGCGTGCAAGAGCCAGGTTGGAAAACTTAGTACCATTATGTGCGCTTCAGCTCAAGGTGGATAGTTAGTCTGGAATTACGCGCTCATCTTGTAGATTCCGCTAGTCCAAGATTTTCATTCAGTGTAGATTTTCAAGCTCTACATTCTGACTCACAAAAGTCAACGTGACTGATTTTCACGTAGACTCGGCTTACTCGTTATATACCAAACAAGTTGGACTGTTATTTAGTCAAATCTAGATAGTCTTTAATGTGAAACATCTTCATCCTGAAGTTGTATAAAAGCCCTATTCAAAGGACTTGAAGGCATTAATTTTGGCAGATTTTTATTAAGATTGACACATACAGGCACATTTCCTATCTATTGCCGGAACCAACAGCATTAACTCGTCGCCCAACTCCCAGACAGGGGCGGTCACCTCCTGGCAGAAGGGTATCACCCAAGAAAATGCAGTTTAAATGTTCCAGCGCTTTGAAGCGCACAATTCCAAAGAAACACGTTGAAAAAAAGAAAGATAAATGTCAACATTGTAAATGATATTTTTGAGGCAATTGGGCATTTGCCTCAAAAATATCATTTACAATGTTGACATTTTCTTGGTGAAAAAGCAATATCTCATATTATCGAGATGTACAATCAGTGGGAAAAGGCCTAGTTTAAACAAAGATATCCTTTATCCTCTACAACAGGATGTTTCTTGAAATATATCGTACCGATACATAAATACTCATACGGTAGTACATTCTCATGGCAAATAGGTGTATGACAAGAGAAGCCGTTCCAGACGCACTAATTTACGTAAAGTATCCAGTAAATGCACCCATCTGTCAAGGAAATCTTTAAAGAAAAGTTTCTAAAAAACACTTGCTACATTGTTAAAAAAGAGTGTTGTATGAAAAACTGAAAAAAAATGTTCAGGTTTTTTTATTGGTATTGTGGAGGGAAAACTGATCAGAGATGGAATTAACCTGGCCTACCCCATTTAACCTTACGTAAAAATGAGCGGCTATCCAAACGCAAGGGGGATATCCGTTAACGAACTGTGGACTATACCTTAGGGGACGATCGTTTCGTGGAATTAGGTAATCGTGATTAGGTAATTGATTCTGGTGTCAATAAAGGTTACAATAAATGTCAATACAAGTGATAAGGGACTGGACTAAATCTCATGGTGAACCAGTGATTCCAAAGTCAATAATGTGATTGGTTTATTTAGTGTCAGAGCTTCAGTTATCGTTTACCCACAAAGGCAATTAATTATGTAGAAAATGATCCTCACGGGTAGGTTGTCCTACGTGGTCAACTGCACCACTATTCGTGATTACTTAGGAAGCTTGTTGTCCTCAACATACACCAGGGTAACCCTCACAGCGACCAGGGTAACCCTCACAGTAACCAGGCTAACCCTCAGAGAAACCCTCACAGTAACTGTGTAACCCTCAATGACCAGGTAACCCTCACAGTAATCAGGGTAGCCCTCAATAGTCAGGAAATCCGCAAGTAACTAAGTAACCCCAAAGTCAATAATATACCGTAGGCTTATAACTGATGAGTCTTGATCACACCAGCAAAGGCAACCTTCGTTCTTATACAGCACAACAGGGTAGACTTACACACCCATAATCTCTACTGCCTTACAAAACACAGTTTCCAAACTGCAACAGGGTATAAGGCGGCTGCATGATAACCCTCACCCATTTCAAGCTGTTATTAAATAAAACGGGACCAGTTGGTTAAGAAGGTGATTATAATGGTCCTCACCGAACTCTAACGGAAACCTGCACCCGGTAAACCTCACCAAGGGAAGCAAGCTCTCAGACCAGAACTGCAATCAACCTTCGCTATGCCAACAAGCATGGAACAACGGCATGCAATCCCTCCAGTCTAAGCTTCGCTAGTTCCCTGCTTAACTTGTTCACAAGGGTTACCCTATAATTGAACACTTTTTAGATAAAACGGACTGTCTGGAAACCCCTCAATCTTAGATAAGATCTGAAATAATCGGCAGCTCTGCAACTGAGAGCAAGCACCACACTAACCGATGGCACCCGGCACACATGAGGTAGATCAAAGCCCTAACGACGAGCGAGGAACACTCAGTGGTAGACTCAGGTTGCACCCACGTAAGTAGGCCAGAAATATGTCTGCTGAGCTCATTAATAAAAGTTATGCACTCAAAATATTCTATAGGGAGTCCTGAGAGCCATGGAGTTGGGGAATTGAAGAAATATGACACTGATCCTCTGGCCCGGACTCAGGGCTTCCAGTTCTGAGCAATTTGGATGCAATCGAGTCCGAAAGTGGCACTATTTAGCCGTTTTGCAGAGGAATACAAATTTCCTTCATTTTAGGGGTGGTCTGCTTTTGGTGAGAATTTCTCAAAAATTCATCCGTCAACCCACTAAAAAATTAAAGGAAAATGAAAGAGGACATGTCGAACATCAATTTGCTGTCCAGCTTGGACACCTGTGAGAGTTGTATTTATAAAAAAAATTGAAATAAAAAGATTTATCATTAGTGTCTATGGAAATTGATTTACATGGGTGCACCCCTCAACTCCACAGAGCTCTTGTAAGCACGCTGCCATCTTATGAAGTCCCGGCAACCCACGCAGCTAGCGCCCAGACCTAAGGTAATGCGCACCTCTGATTTGCTGCTGCGAACCATGCATAACGCATAACTTAGGCGCACATAAATTATAAATGAGGTGGACTATATTACTAGTTTCTACAGCTACTGTTTCGCCACCGTATCTTTAAACTACACACCTCAACAAGCATCCTTAACTTTCCCAGAAATTATCTTATCTGACAAAAATTGGAAATAAAAAGAAAAAAAAATGAGATAAACCATTTTGCCATGAAGGGTTCGCGCAGCACTGGAGAGATTAAAGACCTATCATGCTGTGCCATTTCAGGAAGCCGTCCACTAAATCCAAGGTCGCATTGTTGAAGCAATATTTACATTATGCATGGACTTTCCTAATCATATGGACATATTTAAAGCCACCAACAGACGTTTTATAGGTATATTTGTGGAAGCATATGCACAATACAGAAAAGTGAACACCAGCAAGTACAACCAAGGCTATGACGATAAAACAATTGTGCATTCCATACGGATATGGAGGATTAAGGCTTTATCATTTCAGTATAGATCAAAGTATCTGTCCACCATTTGTCTGTGTGACAGAATTTAAATGCGCATATTTATATCCTCCAAATACATGACTTAATTTAGGTGGACCTTCACGAGTCACTGACAATTCTTCGAGCGTACATTCTCTACAACAGGTTGGGATTAATACGCTGTATCTGGAAAAGCCAACAAGAAACACTTAGGGCTAACGGAGTTCGATTGCAGTGTCTCATATTTTAACATCGGCTGCGGGTACACTTCCAGAAATATATAGTAATAGTTGCTCTAGCTAGAATTGCTTGGTTCAGAGTCCCGTCCATGATGTTAGTTGTTAACATTTTTTAGATGAGCCTGCACTAACTTATTATAATGTGTCTTTATGGTCGTACGTTGTTGGCATGCCACAACTTTACTGCATCATTTGTGGAAAACATTTGGTGTACAGAAGAAATGTCTAGCGATTTTCTGTAAACAAGACAAGTGCTGCCACTCTGCTAAATTAGCTTATTTAGATTGCCAGTGCTGTAACTCATGACGATGACGCACTCATGTTGCTAATTGTTTACTAAGTGTTCGATATTATTTCTTAATATTTACATTTAATTCAGTATGGCGTCTCATTATGTGTGCGGTGCAGCATGCAGCTATTGTGCTGACTCCCTTTAGTGCTGACGAATAATCCACCAAAACTTGAGACACTCATGTCGCAACTCTCTCTCACAACTAGTGATGAATTGCACCCTCAAAACACTGAATAAAAACAGAATCGTGGATATTCCACATTAAGAAAATAATATCGCCCTCAATACATAAGTGATTGTGACGTGTTAGAGGTAGACGGCAACGAATACAACCGGACAACACGGGAAATCTCGCGTGACATTTCCAGTTATCAACCATAAATCCACCTATTTTTTCACTTGAACAATCAATGGTTAAACTGATTCAGTCTACCACTAAAGACCGGACCCTGCTTGGTATCAGTGGCCCTAATATTTTGACATGTAATACCTTTGCCAGATGGCCACAACATCGAAGAGGCGGGAGTTACGAACAATAAAGTGTCATAGGGATTAGAAACAATTTGTCCGAATGACATTTTATTACCCATATGCATTGGAAGAATGGACTGCTTTAGGATTTCATCAAAAGGCTTCAGGCGTCAAGGTTTCCTCATTATCGGCCACCAGTATAGTAGGCAAATGTTCGGTTAGGAATACTTTCGTCCAAAATTGCCTGCGCGGACCATATCACGATTTGTAGGCTGTCAAATTCTCTGCTATTACAGCCTTTCGTGGCAAGTGGACTGGGTAGGTTGTTAAAACGGTGGATGAAGTGCAGGAGCAGGACTGTCAGCTTGTATTTCTTAAAGTATCGGACCAAATGGGGCCCTCCAAATTGCCCTATTTTGCCATGGAGCGTAGGCATCAATTTCCAAAATGGCGATGGGCCTCCTGACTGTTTTGAGGGTTGATTTTCTCTGGAGAGAAATATATTCAAAAGTCGTCGGTTAAGCCA